CTGGGAATCAAAATCATATGTAAGATATTTATATCTTGTTTCGCCTAGAATGATCTATATATGTATGGACAACATCAACGAAAACGCGATATGCCCATCTTGCCTCTTTCAGTTCATACTTAATTAAACTCTAATTAGCAAAATAACTTCCTAACCTTATGACAGATGAATACACTGATTTTAGGATAAAATTCACGATTTTCGCTTTACTATCATCACCAGATTCCCAATAAAACTGTATTCTATGGAAATTTCTTTTTTCATCTGAACAGCCTTGTACAAAATTTGCTATTTATTTTTCATATATACGATTTGAACTTGCACTATTAAAAATTAACTGATGAAATTCTTATATTTTCTATATTTATTCATAAAAAAGAAAGAAAAGAAAACTTACATAATTGGTGCTGTCATATTAACATTATGTCTCAATGATCGTGTTTTATCATAACGTCCAGCAATAGGATTAGCTGCAGCTAAAATTGATGTTCGTGCATTAAGTGTTGCTTTAATTCCTGCTTTAGTAATACTAATTGTTTGTTGTTCCATAGCTTCATGAATAGCTACTTGATCTTTTGGATCCATTTTATCAAATTCATCAATACAACAAACACCCTGAAAGTTAAAATGTTTTTTTACAAACACAAAAAACAAAAGCAAAAATATTCAATTTTACATTATCAGCAAGCATAAGTGCACCAGCTTCAATAACAAATTCACTTGATTCTTCATCTTTAACAACAGCTGCAGTTAAACCAGCAGCTGTTGAAGCTTTACCACTTGTATAAACAGCACGTGGTGAAAATTCTGCAACTTGTCTTTAAAACAAAACAAAACAAAATTCTTCTCACTTATCCCAAAAAAAACGAAAGAAAACTATTATTTTATTTTCTATTACTTTAAAAATTGTGATTTAGCTGTTGATGGATCTCCAACAATACAAATATTAATATCACCACGTAAAGTTGTTTTTTCCATTGTTCGTTTTGGTACACCACCAAATAACATTAATAAAATACCTGATTTTATTTCATCATTACCATATATTGTTGGAAAAAGACTTGTACGTAAATTAGCAAAAAGATTTTTATCTGTCATCATTGTTTCAATACGTTTTTTTTTTGAATCAGAATTTAATAATGTTTCAATATTTGTTTGTTCAGCTGGTGTTATATGACATGCAAGAAATGCTAAATGATATGTTAAATCACGTACACCAAGTGCTTTTAAACCACGTACACCTTCAGCATTATAACCTTTATCATCTGAACCTTGTGTACGTTGTGCACTTTCAGCACGTACACCAGGCATTGATAATTGACTTACATCAGGTAAAACAATTAATGTACCAATAAAATCACAACGATCACCTGGTTTAGCTTGTTCAACACATTCATTACGCATAATTATATCAAGACAACGTGGAATATTTCCATGTGGTAATTCTGATTGACTTTCTTGTATACGTACTTTTTGAAAATCAACAAAACGTGAACGTGTTAAATCTAATGCAAAATGAACACGATTATTACAAACTGGATTACGACACATTAATGGTTGTGTAAAACGAAATTGTTGTTCAACATCAGGACAAACCATTTGACAATCGGAACATATAAATGTAGCCGAAACTAATTCAGGATGTACAGGATATGTTCGAATAACTTGACCAGTTATACGTATTAACATGCCCATTTTTGATGTATTCAAATTACGAAGTCTAAAATATATTTAAAAAAAACATCATTTGTATTGTTCTTTTTTTTCAGACATATTAAACAATTACATATAGGCTGCTAGAGAAGGGTTTATTCTATCACATAGTCAGTAGGGATGACATCGGTTCACTTTTGGACCGAACCAATGTGATGTCTCGAGTGAGAGGCAAATTCCCAAGAGGAAAATATTTTCCAGTGTTTTGTTGCCACCGCGATAGCTGGGCGCCATATCAACCATACGGAGTAGACCACAGGTCCAAAGAGGTCGCGTTTTTTAGGCCTGCACGGCCTGTGAAGTTTTTCGAGCGAGTACAATAATAGATGTCCAAACATCGCACTGGGGCTATTACTCAAACTGATCCTGACCCACCTGTCACAGTTATCACCCATGGTTTTCAGACTAGTGCAAGTGACCGGCGCAGATATGCCGACAGGCCAAAACTTGCTTGGACCTCTGACTGTCACTAGTCTGAAAACCATGGGTGATGCCTATGACAGGCGGGACAGGATCAGGTTGAGCAATAGCCCTAGTGGCTTGTTTGGACCTCTGGAGTAGACCTTTATAATACATATACTGTTAGATTGAGTAGCTCGACATCTATCCTTTCGGAAGGGAACTTTAATATTCGTCGATAGTAAAAACTTTACATAAAGAGGATAAACTAAAGTGAATGGGTATACAACTTAAGAGTAGACACACCTTCATCCATATGCAAAACTACTACTGTTGTAACTATTTTCAAGAAATTCTTCGGTCACTGAACTAAACAATTAGATTGACTCGGTCAGATTCACCACAACTCTAAATGTCACACTTAAACCGCGTGAAAACTCAAACAATTTCACGGTTTGCCAAAAAAAAAGAAGTTACCTCAGTAGCGAAAGTATTATCGAAATATCTTCCACACTTTCATAGACACCTCTGCTCTAATAATCTCCTATAGAATAGTTTGTCTACATACTCTTACTCTCTCCCTTTAAGCTAATATAAGGAAGACCTTCAAATAGAGATCATCTCAAGAAAAAGATCCTGTAGACATCTCTCACTTGACTTCTATAGAGAATCTATCGATCAAAAAAGAACGATTAAAACCGGAAAGACACATCATCCTCATGAGTCATTTCTCACATACAAAGAATTAAACTATACGACTAGAGAAACGTATATCAATTGAAACAAAAAAAAAGCATTTTCCGAATAACATACTTATAACGCATTTGCACATCACTAAATGCCACATAAAGTTCTTTATCATTTAAAACAGTTCGTTTAAATCGTTCAAGTTTTTCTGCTTCCATTTCAATTTTTGGTAAATGTTCACGAAAAAATTGTTTAAGACCACGTGATAAAGCCGGTAAAAGTCTAATATTTTCAAAAAATCAAATTTAAAAAAAAAATTTTTAAAATTAATTTATTCTTACCTATAATATTCATCTTGAATAACACGTGCTAATCGATCATTAAAATTTGATAAATGTCGATAATTAATTAATACAGTTGAACGTTGTGGTTGACATAATTCATCAATCATTATTTTTTTTTCATTATCATCGAAACTAAAATAAATAAAATATGTTTTCTATTCTTGAAATTTAATAATCATACCTTTCAAGATATTCAAAAAATAATCGTTGACATTGATCACCAAGAACATCACGTACACGTGGATGTTGTGGTACTTGTTGAGCAATATCCATTTCAAAATAAATCTGAAATAACAAAATTTATTTATCTTTCACTCTATATATTTTTTTTTGTCTGCTGTACAAAAGAAACACAAAAAACATTATATTAACAAATATTTTCTTTTTCAATATTATCATTTAAATTTGTTTTTTCTTTATTTTTTAATGTTGTTATTTGATTATGTATTTTAATAATTGTTAATTCAGGAAATTTTTCTCGTCCTAATTCATATATTTGCCAAAAACAATTTTGATTATTATAATGTAAAATTTCAATACTAATTGATGATAATATTAATTGAAATAATTCATAATCATTTAATAAAAAATTTTTATTTATATTTTCATTATTTAATAAATGTAAACGTATTTGATCTAAATTAATTTTATTTAATATTTCAAATAAATTTTTTTCTATATTTAAAAATATAGTTTTTTTTCGATCAATTCGACTTTTAAATATTAATGATGTTTGATGACGTGTATGTATTGTATTTAAATTATATTCAATACGAAATAAATATTTATTTGGATTTATATTATTATAATTAATATAAAAATCAATTGAATTTCCTATTATATATGGTGAATAAATACGAACATTAATATTAGCTTGAGAAAGTATATCACTATCTTCATGTTTAAGATCAATTGATGAAAAATATATACCATCTATATATGATGCATATTGCCATTCTTCAGTATTAGCTAAAATATAATTCAATTGAATATCAAATTTAGATACTAATTGTCTAAAAGAGTTTAGAATATAGCATTAGAAATTCAGAATCTAACAGTATCCGTTTTCTAATGATAAGAACTGTATATAGCAAATGCATACGGTCAAAGAAAATTCACTAACTAGGATCGTATCATGTGAAACTTCATGGGTTACATGAATGCCGAAGAGTTCGGATCCATGGCTTATTGATATAATACCGTGTTTCCAATTTTTTAGACTTAAAACAATTCTTGCCAATAATAGTGAAAATCTCAGATTTTTCATGCATAGGAACAGATCAAATGATTTTAGTACTTTTACGATTCACTATTTTCACAGAAGGTTTGAAAAAACCAATGTTTACATATATTCGCATAAATGTGCCTAGCGGATTGGTCCCATCAACCTAAAATTATTATGTTCAGTGAGTCCACTAGCCACGGATTACCAAAAGTCAGCAATGTATGATTCGACTGACGAGGGAACATTCCCGTGTCCCATCGTTTTAGAGTTCGGACTCTATGCATAAGGTACATCCCAGTGATGTATAAAAAACCCCAGAAGCATAAGTGTCCTTAGGCCTTCTGTCTAGAGTTATAGGCATTTTACTGAAATTTTAGCCTTTGGCATGGTATATACCGATAAATCGAATGACTGTATTTCGACCTGAGATTTTGTCCACAGATAGATCTATCTGTGAGTAGAATATCCTGAAAATTTCAGCTCAAAAGAATGTTTTATTCCTGAGATATTAAAGTCCCAAAAAACAGTAAACTCTAGCATCTTTCGTGTGATATGATTGATTTTTGGGACTTTAATATCTCAGGAATAGAACATTCTTTTGAGCTGAAATTTTCAGCGTATTCTACTCACAAATAGATCTATTTGTGGACAAAATCTTAGGTCGAAATACCATCATTTGATTTGCCGGTATTTACCATGCCAAAGGCTAAAATGCCTATAACTCTAGACAGAAGGCCTAAGGGCACTTATTCTTCTGGGGTTTTTCATATGTCACTGGGATCTACCCTATGCATAGAGTCCGAACTCAAAAACGATGGGACACTTGGGAATGTTCCCTCGTGAGTTCGGACTCGACCGGCTCTAGTGATTTATCTACTGGGTGGACCGAGTGGACGCCGCCCACTCGGAAAACGAGACCTAGATAAAACACTGGCCGGCACTAGTCGTACCATGTTATTCTTTAATAATTGAATAAGAATATTAAAAAAAAAGAAGTGATATTGTACCTTTTGAATAATTCATAAGTAATTTTAATGTTTTCTTTTTACTTTCATCAATAAAATCTTTATAAAATAATAAATTATCTTGTTTATTTTCTAATTGATTTCGTTCATTTAAACATGTTCTCCATTGACTACTTGATATATGATTAATATTAAATAAAAATTTTTCATTTAAATTAAATGTATTTAAATATATTTCTTGATTTGTTTTTATTGAATCATTTTCATTATAAAATTCTTTAATTTTATTCATTAATTTATTTTCAATATATTGTTGATAACATTTTCTATCATTATATGTTGATTGAATAATAAAAAGTTTTTCATTATTTATAAAATTAGGTAAAATTTTTATTTTTAAATTTAAACATTGTTGTTTTCTATATAATTCAAATTTATCAATTGGTATACGAATTTCATATGATAAACGTTCAAGTATACGTAATATTGTATCATCAGAATAAATATTTAATTTAATTTCAGTTGGAAAATTTTCATCAACATTTGTACGTGGTATTGGATCAAAAAATAAACAATGAACATTTGCAATTATATTATTTGATGATTTTGAATAAGATGTTATAGTATCGATTACATTTGATTGTAAACTTGTCCATGGACGATGTTCGTTTTCTATTTGTGAGGACATTGTTTAGAATAGAAGAAATAACGATATTGTGTCTATATGTATATAAATATACTGGCTTTTGTTCTTTTTCGCGGTGTTCTTTGTTTAATTTAAACTTCAATAGGAATTGGTTGATTGCATCGAAGATGTCGTTAAATTTTTCTTTTTTTTATTTTTTTAAAAAAAATCAAAAGAATAACCTTCTGTTGCGATAGAAACGAAAAGTTAAAAATGATGGCATTTAATTTTTTTTTTTTGTTTTTTTCTTTTCATAATTGAACTAATTAAACGAAAATGACAACAAGTGAAAATCAATTAGAAAATGAAGTAATAGAAATATATATTTGGAAATAGTGTGTTGTTTTTTTGAATAGATTGAATTGTCAGAAGATCAACAAATCTTATTACAAAAATTATCAGCGATATTTGATCCTGAAACAGCAATTGATTTTGTTTGTCCAAAAACACAGGAAACAAAGCAACTTGTTACAATTGAAGAATTAAAAGATTGTAAGTTTAATATTTGTTATTTTATGATTGTAGCATTAAATAAGTTAAAATAATAATCGTCGACTCTTGAAAAAACGACGAATCGGAGGTAATCGAAGACTTCTATTAATAGTTTTATGCAGAAAACCTTTGAAATTTCTAGCCTTTTAAAATACGAAAAATCGTTTCGAAAATTGAATATTGATTATTTTTTCATATTCAAGGTTCATCTTAGATAATGAAAAATTCTTTTTTTTGTTGCTGTTCTATTACAAGTTTTTCTAGTTCGATAGTGCTAAGTTTGCTGTTCACAAATATTATTTTTTTTCGAAAGCACTTAGATAATAATAAAAAAGAGACCTGAGGCATTCTGTAAATGCCTTAAAGACCAATTCTTAACCTGTAAGTCCTTTCAAGTCTGATTTAAATTCATTGAAAATAACTGCATTAGATGCAGAATCTCTTATATCACAATCGATAAGAACGTCTTAAACATTCAAATATTTTGCTATCGATAAATGATCAGTGAGATGTTTGTTAGTAAATATGTAATTCACAATGCTCTTTCTGATCATACTATCTTCAACCTGAATATTCAAAATTTATAAAAACCATTTGTCTTCTAACAACTATATTTGTAAGCCAATGTGTATCTTTTTTTTTAAACTAATATTCGCCTGTTGTACTTCAAACGTATGTCGTTATTGCAATTAGCACAAAAAACTGAGTCAGTTTATGCACATATCATATTGTTTCTGGAACTTTTTTTTTCAGTCAAATTTTGACTCTGAATCTTCTCAGAGATGCAACATGGAAAAATGAGCTTCATCAAAACAATCGTTTGAATATTTAGAGATCTCTAACTTTTTTCTTCAAACGCCATTTGACAAGTTTAGAATTGCGTTTTCTTTTGATGAGGTTCATTTCTTCCATATATCCCTGAGTCGGACGCTCGGTCAGAATTTGACGTAAAATAATGTGCAGAGACATACACAACTTAGCTTAGTTTTTTTTTTATGCTGATCTCAAATATGACATTTGTTTGAATCCAACCGTGGATTATTTTATTTGAAACCTGATGTATAATAGTAAAAATAGACACAAATTAGTTGATAAGTACAATTTTTGAAGCAATACTACTTTACTAGACATTATTCGTAATTTTGGAATCAACACAGACAAAAGTTTAGAGTAAATATCCTCTCATACATTTTCCTTTTTACGAATTTCATTTTTCTTATTGAATATTGAAAATTAATATTTTGATGAAAAAAAAAAACAAACTTTATTCGGCAGAAAAAAAATGCTCATATCCACGTAGTCTATACAAATCACTCACTACAGTATAAGCAATACTAAATCTTATAATATTCTAATATGTATAATTAAATTCGTTATTTCTGCATATCATTATATTTCGAAAATGAATGTTTACAACCTTCAGGAAAACTTATGATTATTAAATTAACTTGATTCAAGAAAGTTCTATATTTTGTCATGATAATATGAAGAAAGATGAAAATATAAAAACAGACATACTCGACATCGCAAAATCTCAAAACAAAAAAAAGAAAAAGTACTATGATTATTAATATTACCAAAAGAACTAAGGAACTTTTAAGATTTATTCAAAAAAAAAATAGAAAGATTGATGCAAAAGTCATTGAATATTCAATTCACTAACGAAATATAACCGATATTGGACATTAATTTGATTTTTAAAATGAAAAAAAAAAAAGAACTCGTATGGTACACTAACAGGATGTATGGAGGCAATAAAAAAAAAAGGTCAAAGTTAATGAGAAATAATTTTTCAATCGTAATGGTGCAATTCTATTCTTTTAATAAATATACAACATCGGTTACATCCAATTAACAGATGATATATTTAATTGATTATTAAGAAACTTCGAAATGATTTCACAATGCGAATAAATATTCATTTCTAATCATTTTCAGCAGCACATTTCGTTAGACATTGTTTTTTTTTGTTCTGTGAAAACAGTTCTACGAGTGAGCACTTCTGCACTAACCTCTATTGATTAAAAAAAAATCAGTATCAAAACGAAACTCTTCTGCTATTACATTTACTGAGACTAACAAAATCGGTACAATATACTATCGTTTCATATAATTCCTGATTACCAATAGCTGTGAATTGCTGGACTCAATATTGCGACAGTATTTCAACGAGTAGATAATCGATTTTCAGACTGTTATCAACTGTGTATGGTACGATAAAATCTACTAAACGTCAATTTACATCTATCTGCAATTACAAACTCTATATGAAACAACTGTATATATTATCATTTGGTCCGTCTTGGCGATTGTAATCATTGCTTTCAGCAATTGATAACAGTTATTGAATAGCTTGAAAATAAAGTATCCGAACGTTTTTTTTTTTACTAATAAAGTGAAATACAATCATTTATGATTATGCTTATTCAATCTTCATTCTATAAAAGTTCAGAAATTAGCTTTCATGAATTTTTTTTGTTTTTTCCTCAAGTCTTTTATTTTCTAGCAGAGACATATTTTAATAAATTTAATTTTCAAAATTAATTCTTAGTTCTTCAGTGAGTTCTATAGTCTTTCAATTTTGTTTTTGTTTTATCATATAGCAAAATATAAATATGTCAGAAATAATTTATGTTTTTTAGTCTTGAATGACAATATGAACAGGTGGTATGTCGATATTATAGTTAAATAATATTGAGATTAATATAATGATACATGTCATTATGAGAAAATTTGATAAGTTTGAATGCAATTATATATATTATTATTTTGTTTATATTGAAATCTTGACATATTATAACAGACGATTTTGATCTTTTAATATGAATAAAAAAAAGAAATTTTTTCATCATTTTAATGTAAGGTATTTGTCAAAGTCGGTTATTTTTCACTTGATAAAAGTGTTTTATTTTTATTTTTATTTTTTCTGCACTATTAACTAAAATAAGGTTTTGCTTGATATTTATTAATGAAAAACAAAAAAGAAAAGGAAATAATAATAAGAATATTTCATAGAAATATGAATTTGTAATTTTCTTTAGATTTAGATATTTTTCTTTGTCTATTAGTTTTCTATTTTTTTTTTTTTTTTTTTTTGCTTTCTCTTTTTATTTTTTAAAATAGATGTAAGAATTTTGTATATAATGATTGATTTAACCAGAATTCGCATCATTTATCAGAATTACGAGCGGATATCCTATTTTTTCGCTTCGATAATAATAATACTCTGAACTTTGATTTAATTCAACAAATGAAAATATTTTCGAAAGATTTTTCATGATATAACAATTTTTGTTAATGAGCAATTTTTCTAATAATAAAAGGCTATATTCTATTCTGCATGAGTAAAAATAGGAATACATTACTTGCATTTAGCTTTAGGCTAATGTATACAAAAAGAAGAAAAAAAAAATATCTATAATAATTCTATCGATATATATATATGTATGAAGAACACATTCTATTTCATGGAAATATAATTTTTAGAAGAAAAAAAAATATATAAGATTTAATTTGCTATTTAATTCATTGATATAATCTTTTTTCAAGAAATTTAAATAATAATGTATGTATGTCTAACTTGTATTGAATTGACTGATAATTTATATTATTTTAATCTTGTGTTGCTTGATTTTAACCTTATATTGCAGTTAATTATGAACAACCAGAAGAACGTTTACAGCGACTGCGTTCGCTGGAACATTATCAGACCACAACGCAGTCGCTATCTCGAACCGATCTTGAAGTATGCAGATTGTTAGATCGCTTATTCTTTTACTTAACATGCACGGCTTGATTTTATTTTTAATAAAGATATACTTTGCATGATATAATGTCTTATCTAGGATTCATATCAAGCATTTATTCGAGGTCAAGTTGGTCAACAACAATATTCTCGTGATGAACTTGAACAATATGTACGAAATAGTTCTGATATAGATGCAGCTAAACGTTATTTCGAATCTGGACATGATATTTTAGGAAATTCTCTACAAGTAATTGATATATTTAAATATTATTTTTATTTATTTATAAAATATCGATTTGTCTTGAGAAATTCTCTCAAGCAAACAATCGATTTATAAGAAAGAAAAATAAACGAAAGTAATAATTATTATTTTAGTCTCATTTATTATTTCATTCATCAAAACTCAATGAACAACGAGCAAATTTATTAAAATCAAGATGTTCACATAGAAGTTTAAAACAATTAAATGATAATCTTAGTTTACAACAATTTTTTCCAGAAAAATTTACTGTAAATATTTATTTTATTTTATATAAAATTTTAATAAAAACAAAATGACTTTTGTTTTTTTTTTTTAAGACTCATTTACAATATCCATCTAAACAAAAGGATATATTTAATAATAAACAAACAAAATATTCTCGTCCACAATCAATGCATATTGAACATAAAGAAAAAAAATATTATATTAAATTTGTTAAAGATTCAAATAATCTTCCATTTCTTCCTAAACCATTACATCGTTCAACAAATAATCATCATTTATTTATCGTAGAAAAAAAGAATATTGAAGCATTATTTGATACAGAAATATCAACTGAAAAGGCATTTTCAACAACATCAAATACATCAAATATACATCGTGAAAGTAAAATTTATTATTCGTTTCAAAATATATTTAATCTTTTTGATTACTTTTTTTATTTTAGCTTTTCCTCCATTATCTTTATCTGCTTTAAGAGAATATCGACCAACTTTAACACCGAAATCATCAACAACTGATAATCAAAAACAAAAACAATATCGAAAAATACAACATAAAACAGATTTTATATGGGAACAATCTATTGTTTCGTCAAGACATGAATGATATTTTTGTTTTCTTTTGTGTGTGAGTGTGTGTGTGTGTGTGTGTGTCTACTGTATGGAACACAGCTGGAATTTTCTATATATGCATGTCGGAACGGAAATGAAAAGAAAAACTAATAACAGATTACAACATCTCTTGTGTGCGTCTTCGATCTCCCATCGGCATCAAACCGTCGACAGTTTGTTATCGTACTAAAACCTTAAATGAAGAAGAAAATATGTGGTTGGCATAGTCGGTGTCGACTTTTTTTTCTAGTCATACGTCAAAAAATCGAAGAGAAAAAAAAAATACTAGACAAATTGAGCTATGGATCTTGTTTGTTTCTCACATTTTATTCAAAATGACAAGGCAACGTCAGTCGACTTCTGTTCTGTCTTTCTTTTTTCTGTTTCTTTCTGTGTCTCTCTCTCTCTCTCCTACTCTTTGTCTCTCATTTTTTTTTTATTCTTTGTGTGTATATTCGAGTTAGACTTCGTTCTACTAACAGAGTATGCCGACGCGTTTTTCCGCAAAGACAAAGCTTGAGGAAGAAGAAGAAGAAAAAAAGAGGGAGAGAAAAGCAGTTTCGTCTCCTCCGTCACTTCTAATTTCTCATGTCAATTTTCATTGCATGCAACAAGAAGAGGAAGAACTAACGCCGACGATAGATGAATGGTAAGATGTATGGACGAGAGAGATTTCCATGTCCTGCATAACTTACACATAGTCAGGAAAAGCAAAAAAAAAAGAAGAAAGAAAGAAAAGAACCGAGAGAAGAGCAAAAGCGATCGCCAAAACCATAAACAACAACAACAAAAGCGAGAAACTGATGAAGAGAAAAAAAAAGAATGATAGTAGAACTGCCATATTTTCTTTTTCCTTTCTGTTACGTCTGCTTCTCTATGTTAGCATCATCAGACTACGCTGCCATCTCGCGCACCATCAATACCATGTGGGTGTGTGTGTATACATTAATATATATGTTGACTTAGGAATATGAAATTAAGAAAAATAACCGCAGTAAGTTCATCATAAATAATAACTATTAAAAAACGTTTATCAAATATTTAATATGATACAATCGATACAACGAAGTTTTTATATTATTATTATTATTATTATCATCGATTTTAGATTGCATATTATATTTCTATAGTTCTATGGAAAGTTATAATAGTGATGTTTAAGATAAAGCCTATCTTGTCTAACTACATGTATGCAGGGCATCTTCCGCTTTTTCTTTTTACATTTTTCTTTTTGAGAGTAATTGCAATCAGCATCTTCTTTTCTACTCAGATGAATCGTCGTCTTTACCATCATGACTAGATAGTTTTCTTCCCCTTTTTCTTCCTTTTGAGAGACTCCGACAGGTGAAATCATGCTCTTTGCCTATAACTGTTGTGTCTGATTGAAATACTGAAGAAAGCAAAAAAGAAAGAAAAAAAGAGGAAGAAAGAAAGAAAGAAGGAAGGAACGATAGAAGACAACAAAGAAACGAAGTCTCTCCTCCCTACTAATTACTCGGTCCTTTCTTTTCCTCTTTCTCTAGCATTCGCTTGCTTGCCCATTTGTCTAATGAAAAAAAAAAAAAAGCAAGAAAAACAGAAAAGAGAAAAGAATGAACATTATTCGAGTAAGTAACATAGAACAAGTTTGTCACGTCATGTTTGTGAGTGATATTGATAAACAACTAAATTATATCGATAAAGAAAAAAACAAAAAACTTTGATGTTCTAAGTCGTATATTTACAATGAATAGACCAATCAGATCATTTAATATTGCCAATAGAAGTAGTATTCTTGGCTCATCTATTGTTTAAATGTCTGATAGAAAGTGTGTGCGTTTCTATGAAGCAACACGCACACATAATTCTCATTTCTAAAGGAAGAAGAAGAAGAAGAGAGACTCACACAATTCCCTTTTTTTTTTTTCTTTTTTTCTTCTTCTATTATTTCATATTAAGTGCATAGAATAATTAAGTCTTAGAAGTTCAAATGATCAATAGTTTTCTGGTTTTAAATATAACCAATTTATAAAAATAGATTTTTTTTTGTTATGTTCTATGTCGTTTTTCTTAACGATAATGACAATGATAGTTGTCACGCCTTGTGATTGATGAGTGGGCTTGTGCACTAGCTATTTTTGTCTAGATTTCTTTTTTTACTATTTGAGATAATTGCTAACTAACTGCTAGGATTTTCGGATGGAACGAGATGATTTTAGTAGTGCATCATCATCTTTGCTTTTATATATATATTGCGTTTTGTTGTTTCTTCAAGCTACTGTTCTCTCATTTTGTGTGTATGTTTATTCTATTCATGTCTATTGCTGATATTATGACAATAAATGATGATGATGATTATCGTGCAAACAACCTTGTTGCACTAACTAATCCCTTGAAGACACATAGGTAATATGAATCTAAAAAGAATTCTAACACGAGAGATAAAAAAAAAAGCTGATTGAAAATGCATTTCATATTAGATCTTATTTGTTATTTCTTTTTTAGATGATGATCAGTATCTGTCGACTATTGTCTTGATTCTAAAGATAGATATATATCGGCACATATAAAATACAGCTTTCAATCATTCAAATTTGAGATCAACCTGTGTGCCGTTGTCTATTTCTTTTTTTTTTTTTCTTTCTTCCGCTACATGGTAAGTCATGATAATGATGATGATGATGTGACAAAGAGGCAGTGAAAGAAGAATATGTAGTATAAGCCGCAATAAGAAAATAACATGTCTGTAGTCAGTCAAAAGCATCTCATTTTTTTTTTCTTCTCCTTTTTACACCAACTACTTGCATTTAATATACTAAAACCAGATCTACAAAAACAAGAAACCTTGCTTACGAAATAAAAAAAAATGTCCTTATTAATAGGTCTATTTTCTTCTACTTCTAGACGCCTCAATGAACGCTAACAATAAGCGAAGGCGATCGTCGTATTATGTTCGTCTTTTACAAGGAGACCTCTCAAACATTGAAGTACTCACCAATTAGGTATGTTATCAATTCCGTTTTCTTTTCTTTCTTTTTGTTTTGTTGTTGTACATACCATTATATGATATATGTACGTATGTTGACAACCAATATTTCATTTATTCAAACTATTCTATATACTAAGGATATAAAGAAAATGTTTTTGTTTTTATTTTCGTTTCAACTTAAACATAAAACAATTATCGTGTGTGAAAATGTCACATCATATTTCTATTGTTTTTTTGTATCGAACATTAAAGTAAATTTATACTTCATATCCTCTATAAACGTGTGTACACTTGCAGATGACGCGATTCGAAAAATATGTGCGTGATTATAAAGAATAGGAAGAAAGAAAAAGACACAAAGAAAAGAGTAATCTAAAAAAGAAGTAAACTTGCAAGTCGTTAGGCCACATCAAAATGTCTCTCTTAATGCGTTTTTTTTTTATTTATATACATCTAAGTGAACATCTTCATTTGAAAGGAGGTCATGCGTAGATCCTCTTTTCTCGCATTGGACATAGAAGAAGAGCGGCAAAGATAGACATAGAAAGACAGAGAGAAGAAGAAAAAAAAAAGAAAAGGCGAAGAGGCAATGAAAGAATATGAGATCTATGATGATGACGTTGATCACTCTTCTCATCCTATATACTAAAAAAGAAAAGATTACAATATGTGTGAAGTTATTATTTTTATGTTGTTTGGATTAGACTTATGTGCCATTTAGTTCAAATAAATTTTTTTGCTTTTTTTTTCTTATTTTGTTTTGTTTTTTAGGAAAAATAGAAACGCATCAAGTTTATTATTAAGTACTTCATTAACAGCATCAGCAGCACAACATTGTCGCTGCTATATTCATTCATCTTCACCGCCCTATTCGGTGCTGATTTTTTCAGCTGCCGACATCCTTTTCCGGCTCATAGAGGGTTTTGTCGGTCAAGTCGAAGACGTGCAAAAGAATTGTTTCCGTCAAGTAAGAAACGACAATTGAAAGAAAATAATTATGAAATAAAAAAAAAAAGAGAAAAATTCCTTTTTTTTTTAAACAGATTATGAGCACACGCCAATCGAATCAAGAAAATTCATCTATTTTCGACAGTAATCGATCACGCCGTCAACAACCAACACCTTCAAATATACCTTCAAATCAACAACAAGAACCACTTAATTCTTCTCCATCTCATAGTGATCAAGCCTCAAAAGCCTGTTGTTTTTGTTGGTGTTGCTGTTGCTCCTGTTCGTGGTATGTATATTTAAAATGTGTTCCCTTTTTTTCATCCCATTATAAACGTAATACCCTGTTGATCATGCACATTATTTATATAAAAATAAAATACATGTATATATATATATTTGTATGTTGCGCTGCGCAGAAATTCCTAATCTTTTCTATGAGTCGTTTGTCTACCTATATTTTTCGGATCTGTACATAATCGTCTTTGTTTTTTTTCTTCTCTATCTGTCTTGCTTTAGACGTGGGTCTCCTCATCATCACATATTGACAGACAGCAGCATTATATTTATACATACAAAAATTGGTCCCCTACTCCTCTTCAGTCCTCCTGGTGAATTTGCGCGTTTGTAAGCGCGCATGTGCATGTGAAAAGAACATGATTAAAAATTCCAAGTTTCACCCATTCGGTTCCATACGACGTCGTCAAAAGTATGTTCTTTTTTTTATTCGTTCTTATTAACTTTAATTCTTCTCTCAATAATATTTTATATTGATGCTGCACTTTATTTTTTTTTGTGTCTTGCGAAAAACATTATGAGGAGACCCACGCTTGCCAAATATCATTTCCGTTTCGGAAAGATAAGAATAATAGTTAGTTTACTTTCATTATTATTGTTGTTGTTGTTGTCGTTGTCCAATGAGTCTTTTTTTTTTCTTGCTTTTTCGAAAGTCAAACATAGATACACACTTGATCATAGAGTATAAACTCTAATTTCATTTCTATTGGGAAACGATGTAAAAGTGGCTTGCCGCAGTGTTCAATAATCTGATAATGAAGCAACTACATATCGCGACCTCTTTAGCACTGAGATTTCTTCTTCTTTTTCTCTTGTCATGTAGCTATCAATTTGTCGGCCGAAAACGAAACGCTTTTCCTTCTCCTCTTTTTTTTTCTACCCATTCTTAATCGGATTAAGGATATAACTACCCTTTCTCTTTTTTTTTTCTCTTTTTACCCAGTCTTTTTTTTTTCTCGACTTACATTGATGGTGTTTCGCTTATGTTAGAAATAAAAAAAGAAAAGGGAAAAAGTGTTCAATGTCGTCGTCTGGCATTCTCGTCTTGTCGTCGGTTTTTTTTTTTCATTCCAGACTTGTTATTAGCTAAATCATGTTAGTAAGCAAGAAGAAACACAAGCGGACGAGTGCGAGTACGAGCGCGCGCAAAAAAAACTGGTTGGGCCTACGCTTGTCTCGCTCGCCGGGCCTGTCTTTGATGTGATGTTCTCGTTGATGGCGAAAGACTAAGCAAAAAAACTGAGAGAAAAAAAAAAAAAGAACATGTCACTCTCGTTTTGTGTTGTTTCTGACGGTAGTAGTAAGGATGATGATCGTGTTGGAGCTTTGACTATTACTATCGTCATCATCTCAATATTGCCGAGTGCGCGCGCGTTAAAAAAAAAAAGAAAAAGAAGACGAAGAAAAAGAAGAAGAAAGAGAAGAATTAATAATAACTTTTTCCTTGTCGACGGCAACGATGGTCTATGGAATCCGAGCGGCATCCGCCGTCATCATCATCATCATCATCGTTGTTGTCGCATCATCATGACTTTTCAAGTCTGGTCTCGTGGCCACATCATTGGCAGCCGGAATCGTTTGAAATAACAACGAACAATACCTCAACTATTGATTCACAAATGACTCAAGTTGTGCCTGAACACGTGGCTCGTGCCAAAGTTGTTAGTGGAAATACGAATTCTCGAAAAGACAATAGTACAAGTCAAAAAAATCGTTCACAACGTTCAAATTCTGCTACATTAAGTGCGATATCCGTTACATGTGATACAGATATTTCAACACGAACACGTAATAATCATTCTCAACAAATTTCAACTAAAAAATCTCCTCATTTGTTTACAACAACAAATAATATAGCGGCATCTCGTTCAACATCAGCATTAACAAATGTTTCTATTATACCTCCAAATTCCTTTAATAATCATCTACAACAACAACAACAACAACAACGTAAAACATCTATGTCAGCAGCATGTGAAATAAATATTATACATGAAAAACCAAATATAGTTTCATCAGCATCAACTATGTCAATACCAAATAAACATTTGATTAAAACAACAACTGGTGCTGTTGGCGGAACACTACCATCAGTTAAAAGTCTATCTATAAAACATAAATCAACATCATTTGATGATCATCGATCAACACGTGGAATCGGAAAAAGTGTTCTCGAACATCTTGTCTTTGTCTTTCCGGAAAATGTTCGACGAATACTGTCAGGACCAAAAAAGTAACCAGCAAATAGAAAGTTCTTCGTTCTTAGACATTGTCGTCTTCTTCTTCTTCTTTTTCTTTTTTTTTTTCCCCATCTAAACATCGATTATTAAATATATATAGATATTGATTTATTGCTTGTTTTTTTTCTGCTCTAGTTTAACCGTGCGCACCGACGAAGGCCGTCCACCTGTTGAACCTATTGATTTAGGAGAACCGTAAGAATTGTTTATTTCTCTTTCTTTTTTTTTTGTTTTGTATTAAATAACTCATTGTTAATTTTCTAAATATGTAGACCATCGATCGACGAAGTTAAAAGTTGGTCGGAATCATTTGACAAATTAATGATGAGTCCCGGTAAGTCATATAACGAAATTTGAAAATTTTAATTAGTTAATTTATTTAATTGAAACGTTTATGACATAATAATTTATTTAAAGAGTATCTCGAAATAGAGCGAGAAGACGGAAAAATACTTTGAAGTTATTTAAGAATATTTATATGTACTAATCTAATTTGTATTTAATATTTAGCTGGTCGGCATTATTTTCGAGAATTCCTACGATCAGAATATAGTGAAGAAAATTTTTTATTTTGGATGTCTTGTGAATCTTTAAAAAATGAACAAAATCCTGATATAATAGAAGAAAAAGCAAGATTAATCTATGAAGATTATATATCTATTTTATCTCCGAAAGAGGTAAGAATTTAAAAAAAAAACAAAAATAAAATATTATTATTATATATGACATATTAATGTTTTCTTGTTTTTTCAGGTAAGTTTAGATAGTCGTGTGCGCGAAGTAATTAATAAAAATATGGTTGAACCATCTCCGCATACATTTGATGAAGCCCAATTACAAATATATACATTAATGCATCGAGACTCTTATCCACGTTTTATTAATTCACATATGTACCGGCGATTATTACGTAATGAAGACGTTAAAACTTGACTTTCAACATCATTGTCAACCCGGTTTTCCTCAATCTATTCTATTTAAATTGTTTTCAAATTTTCTTTTTTTTTTTTTTCTTTTTTGTTTGTTTGTTTATTTCAAATCCTAAAACATTTTTGTTTGTCTTCACGACACATTCCACAGTGTGGACGCACCATTGTCGCGTGTATGCGCTGACGACATAGAACCAAATGAAGTCTTTAATCTACAAAGGAGAAAAATCAAAAAAAAAATATCAGATGTCCTACGATATCATCGCCGCTATTGAATCAAAGTATTTCTATATATGTATATTTTTCTACAAAATATTTCGTCATTGCCTAGACATATAATTTCTTTTTCATGCGCGCGCGACATTCGATTCCCCGTCTCTCAACTGTGATGAATTCATCTTTTTTTTTTTGTGTTTTGTTGTGTATGTATGTGTATGCGCATTTTTCTTCTTCTTCTTCTTAGTCGTCTCCGTCTGCATTTAAACGAACAGTGACATTGAATGCTGCAGCATGTATGTGTTTGTTTGTTGCTTAAAAACGCAAAAAAGATATCTTTGAAGATCTTAGATTGATGGCATTCATGTTTTTTTTCTTGTTTTTCTTTTTTGTATAGTTGATTGTTGTTCTTTCTTTCTTTTTTTCTTTCTTTTCTACATCACTGTGTTGACTTCTATTGTCAAAAACCAAATTTTGGGACAGTATACAAAGAAAAAAAAAGAAGAAAATATGAAAAAATAATTTATCAAGGTTTTTTTTATACAAATTTTAAAGATAATTCAGATATAATAGAGAATATTATAATAATGATTTGACAATATTGAAATGATGATGTTGATCTAGGTCTATTTAAATAATATTATCCTTTCTCTTTTTCTTTTTTTTTAATAATATCATAAGAAAATTTACAAATTTATTTCTTATTTAACTAATATAAAAGTAATTGGATATATTGTATATTATATTGAATCTAAATATAAAAATTCTATTAATAATAAGAATATGTGTTGATAAATGTAATGAACCATTAAATCTAGATCATAAAATGTTTATTATTGCGTATAATATTAATAGTTTATTTTGTTAACAAAAAAGAAAAAAAGAAAGAAACTTATATTATCATAATTGACTAGTATTTGCGTTGTCTTTTTTTTTTCTTCTTCTTATTTCAGTAATAAGCAAGAAAACAAAAAGAAAAGATGTCAATAGAAACAAATCATATTATTATGTGATATTTGACTTTGAATATTTTTATTTTATTATCAAACTAAAGACTTAAGTTTAACAATGTCATAATGACCTTGTCAAATACTTTAATTATTCTAAAACAATTATCCTTTACTATTATCAAAGATGAAAATCTAACATCTATACTCATATATTTAACTAAAATTTTTTCGGCACAAAATTTTTAATATAATTTAAAATGATTTTTTTTTTTATTCTTACACTTTTAAATACGACAAAAATTACTCTAACAAATATTCATTAATTGATAAAATACTTTCCTAAAATAAAAATTAATTAACTATAAGATGTTTAAAGATATTAATACATATTTAAGATCTATTTATATTTTTTATTTAATACAAGAAACAAAAAAAAAAGACATTCATATCTAACATCTAATATATATGATGATGATTTCACGTGAACAAAGAATAAAAGACTAGATAGGTTAAATTTGAAACAAAATAATTATTTTGATTGAAAATATTTTGAATCAATTGAATAACTAAAATTTAAAAAATGATTACAAAAATAAACAAAAAAAAGATTACTAACTTTTCTTTATCAAGATTAAATCGAACACAACGACGTTGAATTGATAATGTTGGTGATGTTTGTATAGCAACATCAATTTTTTGATTATCATTAAGCTAAAAAACAAAAAAAAAAAATTATTAATTTAACATAACTTGAAGTATATCATGAAATATTCAAAACAAAATTAATATAAATACTTAGTTCATATTCAAGAATAGTTAAGAACTAATTTTAACTTTTACAAAAAAAGAATAATTATAAACATATTTAACTTTATATTTTTTTTACAACAATATCATCAAATAAAATAAAAAACATCAAGTATATTATCAAAAATTTGAATATGTTCTTATTTTCCGTTTATTCTTTCTACTGTATTTTATCAAATATATCTATAAAGTATTTTTCATAATTAAACATATAATTTATAATAGATGAAATATCATAGCATAGATTTATTCAATAGAATAATAAAAAGAATTTTATGATATGAAAAGAATCAAATTTAGATTACTAGACAACATTATATCAATGAGAATGATGTCATAAATAGAATTCAAAATCTTAGAATAAAATAATATTCTTATAAGTTGTTCTATTAAAGAATTACTAAATGAATCTATTCAATTAATTAATAAAAAAAAAAAAATTTACATTGAATGAAACTTGTAAATTTTTTGTTGTATATTCATCAATTAATTGTTTTATTCTATCATTAAGATGAATAATATGTGATTGATATTTATGAAGTGTTTCATTTTTTGTTAATAATTCTTTTGTTTTATCTGATAACTAAAAAAAAATATAAAATGAAATTTTATTTAGTTTTTTTGGAAAAAAAAATTCATTACTTTTTCTTGAGAAATTTTTAAATGTTTTTGTAATTTTCTTATTAATTCACTACCTTCATTTAATCGAATACTTGCATCATTAGCAAGTATTTGAAGTTTTTCTAATTTATCTTCATATTCTTTTATTTTAATTAATTTACGTTGTTTATTTTGATTTATTTTTAATCGTAATTGATAATTTTCTTTATGTAATATTATTAATTGTTCATATTGAAGATTATATAATGTTTGATAATATTCACGAATATTATTTAATTCTTGTAAATTATTATTTTCTGTCATATCTAGAACTAATTAAAAATAAATAAATCAACCAATAAAATATATTTTTACTTTTTTGCTGTTATATATCGAACTCAAAATATTCAAATTATCTCATTGTTTCAATTTAGAGGGTAAGAGAAAAATATCTTGATCAGTTCCATTATTCATTATGGTTATCAATTAACATGGTGCACATATCTAATAATTTCGTCACCATCGTTAATCATTTTGATTGGAGAAATGTAATGAGAGAGAGAGAGAAGAAAAAAATAAGTAGACGTTTCTCTAACTTGTTTATATACATACATGTATAAATGAATATTTCATTCGTTAAGGGAACAGAAAATTGAAAAAAAAAAAAAAACATGTTTTTTACACCCTATTATAATGAACAAGTCTTAAATGAAGTAAAGGTAAGATAATTTAAATAAAAGTTTGTTGAATATATTAAGATTTTTGTAACATCTAGTATGATATTCAACGTAAGGATCAGTATATTACTCGTTGGCAAAATTGTTTAGGGAATATTTATTCTGATGATCGAAGCTATAAGAGATATTCTGAGACGATATGTGTAATATTAGATACGTTCTAATATTATTATATATTAATATTAATTGTATTTAGTAGTTAAAATGATAAGCCAAAGTAACAAACTAAGAAGAGAACCTCACTAGGTGCTTTCATACGATGTTAATGATTTGTTTTTTTTTGCTTACAAATACTACGTAGATGAGTCAAAAGCTATGAATAAGAATGCTCTTTTCGAATATGGGCTTAGAAATTTCGTCCTTTTCAAGAAAATATGATATTTAACTAAACTGTAACTTTTACCTGAGCATGTTTTCAAAAACAGAAATTGAAGTGTCTTGTTGATAGACAAAAAAAAAGAAATGTCGAATAGTGTATTTTGTATGGTAATTGCTGATCTATAAGTTGATACATAAATAAAGATTTTAACTTTAAATTTCGAATTACAATAGTAAAAATAGAAAAATTTTCTGTCTAAATTAGTTTTTTCGAAATTTTCAAAAATAATTTCACGCAGAAACTTAGACGAAATTTCTAACTTCATACTTGAAAACAGCATTCTAACTCATAGTTTTTGACTTATTGAAAATATTTTCTAGCCAATCAAAAATGAAAAAAAGATCTTGTCTAATTAATCCTAAAAGGATATAGATTTCTATTGAGATTGAACTATTTTATCAAGTTTTATTATTTTGCAGAGACTTTAGATTTTCCGAACGGTTAATTCGATAGCCTCAATAAAAACCCAATTGTTATTATAACACAATATAGTATCTATAGGCATATAACATCGATCAAATTGAAGGAAGTCGGTAGGATATGGATGTGGATAATCAAAAAGGATTCAGCAATTTAAATATACTATTTTCACAGATAGAAAAATTAAGAATGTTTACTTCATAAAATTTGTCATATATATATATAGTTTATAAAATCGATTTCATTCTGTTTTCTATTCGTTTCTTCAATTAGCAACTAATTTTTACTCTGTATAGATTGTGCTAACAGAGGTTTTTTTTTTGTCTTCATATTTAGAATGATACTAGTACAATTACCACTAATAGTAATAATAATAATAATACAGCTCAAATACAACATTCAACAATAAAACCTTGTAAACAATTACCTGAAAAAGCTGTACGTTTAATGAATGCATGGTATACAACACATGAAGATAATCCATATCCAAATCGTAATGATTTAGATTATTTAGCAACTAATGGTGGAATTAAAGAATCACAAGTTAAAGCATGGTTTTCTAATAAACGTAATCGAACACAAAATACACATCCAAAACGTGCAAAACGTTATCTTGTACGAAGTCAAACACAACAAAATTCAACATTATGGAATGAACCTGAAAAAATTCATGTTGCTGATGATTTTGAACAACGAACACATTTATTACAACAACAACAACAACAACAAGAACAACATTCGTATTCTAATTCTCAATTATCATCAATACCTCCAACAAATTGGCCTTGGTTACCATCAACTTCTTATGATTATTATTTTCATTATTAAAAAAACAGAGACATAGAGATATATAAATTTATTTGTATTTTATTTTGTCTGATAAAAACACAAAACACATAAATCTTGAGTTAATTATTTTTATGTATTTCAGATGAAGCATAGTTAGTTCAACTTATTTCATATTAAAATTTTGTACTGTATGAAGTTGATACAGTTCACAAAAAAATTCACAACTTGAGTAAAAAGAACGCACAGTTAAAGAAAACTTGTCAACATTTGTCTATATTTGATTTCGATTTAGTTAACTGAAAAATATAAAGTTGCTCATTTTGTTGAAAATATTTCTTAGATATGAAAGTTTAGTCAATGAACTTGAAGAAAACTTTCAGCAGCTTGTAGCTTACCTCTTTCTAGCTTTCTGTACAGCTCTTCTTCATATATAATGAAGAAGGACTAACATGAAAATGTTACTGTTTACCAGTGAAAGAAATGAGGAATTTAAATGCTTGTAGAAGAGTTTCGATATACTATATGAAACCTGTTAATCCTTTGACGATAGGTTTTATTTGAATGAATACAAAATTCTGTTTTTTTTTCTTATAGAAGTTCTGAAATGAGGTGTATATGTCAAAAAAAACAGCAAATTTCATTAAGAATCATCAAACCTAATAAGATTCTAATATTGTGACATAATAGAATTGAATCTTATGGAATCCTACAAGTAACTCTATGAAGTACTTCAATATCTTAATACAAATATCATCAAATCTAACATTCCAAAAATTTCAGATTCAGTCGAACCTTACTTTGATATTCTCAATGTAATGTTCTAATCTAAATCAAATAGTCGTCCCAAAGATATGAAATATCTTTTTCTGTTTTTCTTATATTCGGTGCTTAGCGCGTCGTACATACTTCTTGGGCGACTAGAGTTCATAAGATCTAAGACTTTCAAACTAGGATCCAGTCGGGTCCTGGTTTTCAACCGATTCAATGTAGTCTACCGATGGTATACAGTAGAGACCAGCGGGAACAACTTTTTTTGATTCCCATTCCCGTGTTCCCGTTCCCGTATTGAAAATTTTTGTTCACGTTCCCGCGTTCCCGTTCGTAGAACAAAAATTTTCGTTCCCGATCCCGTGTTCCCGTTCCCGTAACAAAATTTTCGTTCCCGTTCTGTATTCCTGTTCTCGTAATGCTTTGAGAGTACCTACAATGATTTCATTATTCACATTCATCAACAATACTCCTACTTGATACTAGCTTTTAGCGACATCATGTTTCTCACAATACAAGATTCTGTATATTAAAAGTAAATTTCTGATTCAAGGCTCATAAACCTATTGAAACTTGAAACTTCAGAATTGAAATTTCAATTGAATTCAAGTTTCAAGTTGGACATATATATAATCTTGATGATCCCAACTTCGATGCCGACGACGACAATGATGATAAAGAATATCGTGATTCTCAGAATCTATGTTTGAATGAACTTGTCTGATTTTGTTGACTGATATTTGTTCTCTTTTCAATTATATTTCAAATAGTTATTGGAAATCGAATACTGTAAGATTAACAGATTTTAATGCAAACAGAAATCGGACATAGGGTTTGCCGGGAACAGAAATTTTTAATACAATTCCCGTTCCCGTGTTCCCGTTCCCGGAGTGTCCACCAGAATTCCCGTTCCCGCATTCCCGTCCCTGAGGTCTCACGGGAATTCCCGTTCCCGATTCCCGCGGGAAACGCGACGGGAAAACACGGGAAAAAGTCGTTCCCGCAGGATCCTAGTATACAGATCGCAGATAACCAATCAGAGAACAACTAGCAGTATACCGCGATAGAATGACGTGGAGAGGATAGCTGACAATATAAGTATTAAACTATCGCCTGTTGGTTATCGGTTCACCAGTGATTTTTGTCTCATTTAAACTTTTCCATTCAAAATTTCTTTTTGTCCACTTTATATACACAGATAATGACACCACATGAGATAGTAGCAATATAAGACCAAGTGAGAATACTGTTATGATCGCATGAAGATAGATGATCATATATATTAGGATCTATGCACAACTTCAATATGTAGACATATTTCTTGTATTGAAGAGTTTAATCTGATAGAATGAAAAACAAATGTTTGATCATATTATAATCTGGGACATCTGAATCTAATGTAGGCTTTAACCTATTCAAGTCATGTGATTGCGCTGACTATGGTTTAATTCTTGCATACTATTATTTATATATAAAATATTTCATCTAATCAATTAAAAGAGCATATTCGATTTTAGAATTAAAAATTTAATCCATTAGTCAAACAAACATGAAAGATATATCAAATATATATTCATTAAAAATTATATAGTATTTTAATTATTATAACTTTTTTGAAATAAATGATCTAAAACAAAAAATCACAGTGTTTATTTTGAATAGATAAAAATATATATGAAAAAAAAAAAAAAATTTCTTCATAATGAATATAATCGTTAAATTCCAAAACATATGTAAAATATATTATTTGTTTGTTTGTTTTTAAGATTGTCTAAGTATTGTTTGAAGAACTTTTTTAATTTCAATATTATCTCGAACTGTTGCATCCATAGGTTTACCAGTTGTTGGTGAACAACGATGTACTTTAATCCAGTCAAGTATAGCTAATCGTTCATATGTATGACCATCACTAGCAATAACAGGATCAACAAAAAATTTTTGTGTCAAAGGACATTTGAAAGCTCTCATAAATTGTTCGGATATATCAGATGATGTTGGATTTGTATTAGTCGTTGAAGATTTAACCTCATTTGTTAAATCTTCATGTGATGAAGTTGAAACCATAGATACTGTTGGACTTGAACTATTCGAAGGATTTTTCAAATTTTTCGCGACATGTTCATTTGATATAGTAGATGATATCGGATTTACATCAGTTAAAGGACATTCACTAATAATTGATCTGTTTACTTCAACATGTTTGATTGGAGATATTCCTGATTGTTTTTGTTGATATGGAGTTCTTGATTGACTATGATCTGAATTAATAGTATTTGGTTGTTCAAATTGAAAATTATTATATTGAAGATCATTTAAAATTTTACCAAATCCAATAGTCGATGATGCTGTTTTGGGCGTTGTACTTGGTGATGATAATGGAAGTGATTTGTCTGATGATATTATAGAATCATATGATAATCGTTCATTTGATCGATCTAAATTTTGTATTGATATTGATAATTCTGTTGTTGAAATTGTATTTCTTTTTGTTTCTAATTTTGGTTCAAGTATAGAACACATATCATATTTCTTTAATCTTTTAGCTAATTCTAAAGGAGTTTCACCATCACTATTTCGTACATTTGTTAAACATTTATATTTATCAAGTAATAATTCTAAATTATATGTATCACTATTTTCAATAACATAATGTATAAGAAAACAAGGTGAATATGGTGGTTTTTCATTTGCTAATTTATTATCTTTTTCAAGTATTTCAATAACATCACGCCAATTAGATTGTTTTGCTTGTTCAATTAATTCATCTTGTAAAAATAAATGTTCAATATATGAATACATAGCTTGATGAGTACTTTGTTGTTCTTTAGCAATATCAAGAAAAGTTTTATTATCTTTTGTTTTAATACGAATATCAATATTTTCATCAGAAAAAAGTGCAAGAAAACGTTTAAAAAGATCAACATTACCATGAAGAACAACTTGATGTGATATAGACCATCTACGATCAGGTAATATAGCAAAAAAATCTGCTGGATTTAAAACTATATATTGATAAACTTTATCCCATTCACAATTTGAACGTGCCCAATTAGTAACTTGAACTAATGATGATTGAATTTCTTCAGCAGTCTTACTATTTGATGGCATGATGAGTTTTTTTTTTTTTTCTTTTATAAATCTAGAATAAAAAGGATTAAAGTATTTTTTTTTTTTTTTAAATAAAAAATTAATCATACAAGAATTGATTAATCATTTTCTTATTGAAAACTAGTGAATCATAGGTTATCAATTATGTAGATTTTACATATGACAATAAGATATCTCTTTAGATTTTTTTTTTAAATGCTGATTTTGTAGAAACTTTCGTTAAGAAATCGATCAATCAGTTGAAAATGTTTTTTTTATTTCAACAGATGAATTAATCAATCAGTTTATCGAGAAATCTCTTCAGATGTCTTCTGATTTCAATGAGTTTTTTTGTCTATGGATACTAGATACTGTTCTAATAAAGAAAAAAACATACTAATTAGATTTCAGTTTATATTGAGATTTAAGTGAGCTATCGAATTTTTTTCTAGAGGTTTCAAGTTTTCGGAAAGAACAGTCTTGTTCAGACATAAGACTTTCAGATATAGACTGTTTTCTATGGATACTGCATAGCAAGGATAGCACTGATCTAGGTTTTTTACGAACAATACCGATAACGATATGAATAGACCAGATCGTTCGATCTACCAAATATGAGTTTTTCGAAAAACTTGGTACCTATGACAAAAAAATTCGATAGTTTAGTTAAATCTCATTGACTATCTTATTGTAGTTTTTCGTGTAAAAATGTATATCCATTATAATATAAAATAATACTATGTATATGTTGAGAAGATATGTTTGTTTCTTTTTATCTTATCGTTATCGAACTAAAGTTTTAGAAGAAATCGATTTGGAAAAATCGTATGTTTTAATTGCCGCTGAACTCTGTGTATTCGTTTTGTTGCAGAGTAAATATGTTTTTCGTACATTAAATATAGGATCATATTTAGAGCTGTTTGAGTTAGTTTCGAACTCGGTCGGGTCTAGATCATACTCTAAAAGAACCAGCCAACCATAACTCGATTATTATAGGATCATGATCTATGCGTAGGATATGTTAGAACCACAAATATCTTTCTGATAAAAAATTTAATTATTTCTACTCTGTTCGAAGATATTGGACTGAGTTTCTTATCGATGATACAGGAGTGTTCGAAATTTTTTTTTTTTTACCATAAGAAAATTGTTAATGAACACTGCTTTCAATTGCCGACATTCACTTCAATACGTGTTGTAGTCGTTCATGGGTTTAGATAAAAGAAGAAATACAGAACAACAATGGAAAGCAATATTTATTAATAATTTTCTTATGAAAAAAAAAACTTTGAACATTTCTCTATCATCAACACAAAAAAATTAATCCAATATGAATTGGCGATATTCAAATTCTTTATAGTAAAGTTGTTTGAAATTTACTTCATACTAAAATACAAATAATCGATAAAACGTATCTCACACGTTCAGACTCATTATAAGACTCAGATTCAAAACTCTTCTTGAAATTAGGAATATAATTTGAATTCAGATTCGAATCTGAAAAATTTTAAACTTAACGAACTCTTATCATCTTTCCTATTTTCAGAAATTTGTCAAGAACAAGTACCATTATAACCAAATTAAATCATAATTTCATTAATATTCATGTTTTTTTTTCAATGATCGTATCGATAAATATTAAGATACCTGCTGAATTGTATTTTAATTGACGTATCTATATCAATTGTTAGTAAATTCATTATACACACTGGATGATCGGTATCAACCAATGTTCTATCTGTTATCAACTGAAAGCCAGTCATTGTTATAATATACTTTCATCATAAGGCTAAACAGATAAACATTTATCTTTATATGATTGTAATATAGTTTATGGCAGAAGACAGACATATGAAGAAATGTAATCATGTTCATAAATGAGTATAAGAATGTAATTTGTAACATAAACTTCTCTAATAGTAATGCAATAGAATATAAATATATTATCTACAAAAAAAAAAGTTAAATTATTATAAACTAAATTATTTTTTTTTTATGAATATATAAAAAATAGTCATTCATTCATTCAAAATTCATATCACAAATATAAACCAAAGAATTGATAATAAAACAAAAAGCAAATCATTTTTTTCAGTATACTTACTACTCATATTTGTGTTTCTTTTAACACAATTATTGACTAAAACTATCTAAAATTCGTTTAACTATTAAATTTGGATTTAAATTTATATGAGCAAGTTTTTCATTTGTCATTGGTGAACGATCATTTGATTGAAGCCATTTTTCAATTGCCGTACGTTCATATGTAAATCCATCAGCAGCAACAACTAAAATATAAAAATTTTTAAATCGACTATATATTTCTTATTAGAAATGGTTCTATTCAATATTTAAAAACAATATTTGATGATTTCTACAATCATAAAGCTTCTTATAAGTAATAAATGAATGTAAAAATCATTCCTAATATACAAGATAAAAATGATTGTTACGTAGTCAAGAAACATGATCTCAGAAAAACAAGAAAAAAAAAAGCACTTTTTCAGTTCCTATCATTATCACTTTCAATTCTATTCGATCAAGATATATCAAATTTATGGAAGGCACAAAAGTTGTTTTTTTTGCTTATTTTATATGAAAATGTCATTTTTGAGTCTTTTGTAAATTTAATGTATCTTAATCAAAAAAAATGTCCGAGAAAGCAATAAGAAGTTTGATTTTGTACGGAATTATTTGGTTTACCATTCTAGGTGACTCACACAGGATCAGTGATTTATCTAGTGGGTGGGCCAGATGGGCGGCGCCTACCCGAAATTTTAATTCGCTTACTTGAAAATATACAGCAGTCACTCATCTATTGCGTGGGCCGAGTGGGCGCCGCTCACCCGAAATTTCGATTCGCCCACTCGGAAAACGAAATCAAGATAAAACACTGCACAGGATGGAAATTGCAAGTTCGAGAAATTTGAAAATTTGGTTTTTTAGAAATCACTTTTCTTAAAAAAAATTCGCTACTCAAATCAGGACTTCGATTCTTTTCAGCATTAACGGTAGCAGAAAAAAATCAAACATAAATCTCTTCGAATAATTTTAGGAACCACTAAATGCAACCTCTCTGTATCGTCTTACGTTCTGCTGTCATGTCTGAATGCACATAGATTCTCTTTTCTACTTTGTTCAGGTATGAATCATTTTCTTTTTCTTTCTTGCTTGTACCATCTAGAACTGCAATGACTGAGTCATTAAATTGTTTAACACACCTACAAGATACTATGAACAACCCTCAGTATCAGCAGTCTTATAATGATCCAGGACAAGTCACTAATGACTATTTTTCTCGGATCACCCGTCCGATAGCATGCTGATCAGATTCTGATATATGATTGCTTTGGTGGTTAGTTAACATGTATGAGAAACTCAAGCCATTGAGCACAAGAAGTTTGCGTCAGGCTGAGCTTCTGTCTATAGTTGCAGTTAATTATATTTGTATAGAAAATATCGGACTGTTAAAATTGTCGCTAGGCCGGATCCCATTCCGCAAGATAGCTTAAAGGGAAAAGTATTCTTCCTTCATACTATCTGATCAGTTCTTTCTATTTCCATATTTTTGTATATATACATGAATCCGTTGTTTGAAACAATAAAAACATTGTATATATGCAATAAAAAATAATACTTGTTTGTAACTATCAACTAGTTAGTGATCAACAACCTTCACATCCATCATTAAATAAAAAAGATTTACTACTTGTCATACAGCATCGAAGTGATTATATTACTTACCAGGATCTTTAACGATAGCTTGTGTAAGAGAACAAGTAAGAAAACTAAGTATAGCATCTATAGGTTGTTGAAGAGGTTTCATTGTACCGGTTGTTGGGGATGGTGATACAAGTTTTGGTTTCACTTTTTTATCGGCTTCTTTTCGAGTTAGAAGATTTTGTGCTGGACCAAATGAAAAACTCGATTCATCAAATACATTACGTTGTTCTATCAGAGCATTTATATTATTCGTATGTTCTTTGGCTTGTTTTGATGGTTCATATAATTTATCATTGGTATTGTCAGTATTAAAAAATGATGGATATGTTTTTTCAATATATTGAGCAAATTTTTCACCTTTACCTTCTCGAGCAATATCATTGATTTTTTTACGATCAACTCGTAAAGTTAGATCAAATTTAAAATTTTCTAGTTCTTGAAATTTTTTAAATTGCTCAACTTCATCAGCATAAGCTAGTTGATGAATTAAATAGAAAAGACGATAAGGTGGCTTTTCATTACCAAGTCTTGGATCTTCTTTAACAATCTCATAACATTTATTCCAATTACGTTCTTTAGCATAATTCAGTAATTCATCAAGTTTAACTAGTCGTTCAATGTGTTTTAACATATCAGATAGATCATCACGTGATTTAGCAATATCGAGTACAGTTTCACCCTCAGTTGTTTTACTCAATAGACGAAAATCCTTATTCGATTTTTGTGATGCAAGTACTTGGTCAAGGTGATCAATATTACCAGAATAAACAATATGATGAAGAATCGCCCATTTTCGATTTTCTGGAATCACTGTTAACCATTCTGGATGAAAATGAATTGTCATAAGAACGTTTTCGAAATTTTCGAAATGCTTTGCACTTCTAATTGCTTCCGATAGTGATAGTATATTATCCATGAGTTATCAATACAAAATTTATAATATCTAAAGACAGATAGATTGAAGAACTATGTAATTATATTATTATGGTAAAAAGAAGAATATTGCTTCATTAAAAGACGAAACAACTAGATCGTCTATATTTATAAAATAATAAAAACGAAAAAAAAAATGGAGGAATGCATATCAAGTTCGAAAAAACAAACTCTTAATTAGAATGACCACCATTTTTTTGCACTTTTTCATCCAGTTTTTTTTCGTTCTTTTTTGAATCATAAAATGATTGTAAAATTGATTTTACAGCATAATTTGGTTTTAGTTCTGTATTTTCAAGTACTTGATTGGTCATTGGACTACGATTAGAACCTTTAAACCAATTAAGAATTGCTTCTCGTTCATAGGTAAAACCATCAGCAGCCACAACTATAAAATGCAAATATAATTAAATGTGATATATTCATTCTTCACAATTAAGTAGCTACTAGGAGTCCACAAAATACGTAATCGGACGATTTGTAGCAGATATATTTACCACGAGTGCTTGAATGCAAATGTCGGTATGAATGAGAATTGTTGTGTAGCCCACTGACGTTCTCACTTACACTCTAATCCACACATTCATTCTCCTCCACAACCCACACAACCACTTGCATTCATCCACATTCGCCCTTACCTTCCCACTTTCGATGTGCTCGCAAGACAGTTTTAAACTGACAGTTCATGCGACTAATTATCCAAATATGATTGTTGAAACTAGTCAATCTTATCTATAGCTTCTTTGCTTATTATAAATATGTATTGCTTTAAAATCTGTACACTACAAGAATCGCTGCATCTTAAGATGAGTATCATGTTCGATGATATGTATAATATACCATCTGCATTACAGATAATAAAAATGATGAGCTTCTCTTTGAGCATGCAAGCTGTTACGTAAGAACTAGTTATGTAAAAGTGATAATGAGTCCTTGGTTCATTAGAATACTACTCATCGTTGGCATCAGTTTACGGTAGAGCAGACTTGGAGCCGGTCTGACCGGACCGGATCGGCCGGTCCAAACTCTTACCTGGACCGATGAAAAACCGGCCGGTTCAAGTTTATGACTTGACCGGCGAAAAAACGGCTGGTCCAAATTCTTGATTTACCTGACGAAAAAAGCAGTGCACTCATGTATTAGCTAAACAACCGATATTTTCGCGAAATAGTTTGTTAATTTAGCTCTACTAAGACATCTAATATCAAACTCATACAATTCTTGAAGCTTCTAATAGCAGCGACTTCTTTTTTAGTCTGTCAATGTTTAGTATGCTAATATTCAGAACCAATGAAGATATCTTTCAAAAAGTTTTGACTAGGACTCACAGCAACTAGGATTGAACACCAGCTAACTATTCTTTGAGTCTTTTCAAATAATGATATGATTTCTTTACCATTGATAGGTTTAGTCTATTCTTATTTGAAATACTGAGTTTCTTAGTACAGCTGAAATATATTTCTCTCCACAGAAGAATGCTACTGTAGAGAGAAAGATAATGTGAGCTAGTCGGTAAAATTTATACATTAGACTTCCTATTTGAAGTTTATTGATACCTAAATATTAACGCGGTTGCATGATGCTACTAGTTAGAAAGACCGTGATAACAGAAAAGATTTTATTCAAAACATTTTGCTATGAAAGCATGAACTTGAATACTGGTGACTATTGGGCTTCTATGAAAATCATCTAAGATTACTGCATACGAGTGATCCAAAATTTCAAGAAAAATGTTGAATTTAAATCAACAGCAGCTTGTAAAATCGAGCTAACTTGTCGTGAGTATAATGAATGCATTCGCCATAATATGAGCCTCTGATGAAAGGATAAGAAAGTGTTGGTGAATATTTAGAGCTAGTATTTCCAATACGATTGAAATTTTGCCAGTGAGAAATTTTTCGGATTAAATCTCTTGACCATTGACCCCACGAAAATCCTTAAAAATGAGCAAAATAAGCAAGTTTTAGTTGCCAAAAATTTTTAAAAAAACCGGTGAAGACCGGCCGGTCTGAAAAGTTAGACCGGACTGGGCCGGTACTGGCAGATCGGCCGATCCGGTTCCAAGTATGCGGCAGAGTGATGCTCCGGCTGAGACATATACAAGACTTGTTATTGGTGGTGACAAACGGTCGGTTTAGACCTTTTTTAAAAAATTTTTGTATAGCGGTATTTTTCAAAAGGCTGATCAAATAACTGCTTTTTTCCCAAGTCAAACACTTTTTTATTAATGTCGAAGACTATTTCTATGGATGAGCATAGATCAGACTATTTTATTAAATCAATCTTAACAGAGCATTCTTGACGTATTTTATTAGCTGATTTTGATGTCACATTATGTTATAGAAACAAAACTACATAATTATGTATGATGGAAGCCCTTCAACTGATAAATCTCTTTCGAGTCGAGACTATATGTGCTATGTAGATCTAAATAGCACACGCATACTTTGAAAAGAATTCGTCTTCTTACTTTATTTTTGGCAAAATCTTTGAAATTTTACGATATTTTTCAAATGACAGATGTGGTCTCTTTCAGGAATATCAGAAAGATTGATTTTCGAATTTCGAGTTGAAGCTTTGCATAGAGAAAGAACTTAACGAGAATAGCTTTTGTGAACATTTCTGATCTTGTCGTTATTCCTATCGTAAGATTTGATATTCTTATTTGAAGACGGAAACAAATGAAAAAGTCTGAAACTTTCACAATGAAGTACCAATGTTAAGAACTGTTTCTGTGTAATATTTCAAATCGAAATTTGAAAATCAATTGTTCTGTTAACACGGCATTCATTTAAAAAAATACTGTTAGAAATGTATTATCTTGGCATTTCAAGAAACTAAGCGGACTAATTTTTTTCAAGATGTTCACAGCTCGTTTGGTTTTACATAATGCATGTAGTTTCGATTCAAAAACACAATTTATCAGTTGGAAGATTTTCCTCATTAATACTATAATTGATTAAAGCTTTATTTCTATTTTCTATTATTCATAGCATATATTTTGTACAAATCTAAATGATAACAAAGCAAGAAGTATAGTACGTACACAATTCATGTCCTAGAAAGTTTCTGGTTATCGATCGGATAACAAGAGAAAGAAAGCATATGGAAATGAAAAGTGAATAGTATTATAACAATGAAACGAAATTTTGATGCAATTATTGTAGCGATTGAAAAAGAAATAGGACTCATTGATGCGTTTGTTTGAATGAATCATCGACTAATATGACATTGGTAGGATAAAACCTTTGCAGCTTTCATCTATGTCATGTATTGTTAAACTAAAGTGAAAACCACTGTTTTAACAAAACACAGCTCTTGTAATATAGAGTCGTCTGAAAAAAAAAATCAGATCTTATTATAGATTTTCGCATCTTTATCAGTTAGATTTTTCACGTGTTTTCTTCTTACATTGGTTTTAACGTTAATGACTGAATATGTATCATTATGAAGAATCATTTAAATATTAGATTAATCATAGATTTTTATATGAACATAAAATAATGATTACCTGGATCTCTAAGAATGGTTTTTGTAATACAACATGTAATAGCATTAAGTAAATTTTCAGAAGAAAATTTTTTTATATTTTCCATAACTGTTTTTTCATATTCTGCTTGGTCCTCTTCAGTCATTGTTGATAGTACATGTGATTCTGATTTTTTTTTATTTTCATATTCAGTTTCTTCGTCCATCGAACTTTGATTAGAATCTATCGTAATGGCTGATATATTTGTTAGAACTTGATCTTGTGCTGGATAATGTGTTGCATAATGTGAATGATTAGATGAATAAGGATGATGATGATGATGATGACTAGGATATGGTAATGATCCATCTTGTGATAAAAACATAGTTCCCATCGTATTAGGATTTAATGAAAATATCATTATACCAGGATCATCATAAAATCCTTGACTAAATGATGGTGCAGTAGTTGTTTGTGATGAATAAGAATCATTTCCTGTTGCTGCTGCAGCATTTTGATCATCATCATCATTTTCAGTTGTTTCATTTATATTTGCTTGAAGATTTTCAATATGTTCAGCAAATTCAATATGATTATTATCACGTGCCATTTCATTTATTGTTTTATCATCAACAGTTAAATTAAGTTTAAAATGACATATGTTACTTAATTCTTTAAACATGTCGAGATTACCTATTGATGCAAGATAATGTACTAAATACAATTTTCTATATGGTGGTTTTTCATTAACAATATCCGGTTGTTGACGAAGAAATTGTTTTACTAATTCCCATTTACCATCTCGAGCATTATATAATACTTGATCAATAGCAACAAGACGTTCAATATGACGTAACATTTGTGGATGTATATGTGCACGTTCACTAGCAACTTCACGAACTGTTTTATCATCTAATGTTTTACATAGAAGACGAAAATCTTCATTTGAAAGTTGATAAGAAAGAACTTCATTTAAATGTGAAACATTTCCAAAAAAAACAACTTGATGTAATATTGTCCATCGTCGACCTTTATTAAGGAAAAAAAAAATAAACTTATCTATATTCTTTTTGTTTTTTTCACCTTAAACAAACAAACCTTCTGGTATTCGTGTTAACCATTCGGGATTATTTGATATAGCTGCTGATACTTTATGCCAATTATAGTTATTTTTTGCATATTCATATGCTTGCATAAATAAGGTAGTTGGATCTGATGCTGGTGGATTTGTTGATGATGTCGTTGGAGTTATTGATGATGTCGGTGGGATTATTGTTGATATTGATGAAGTTACTGGTGGTGTTGTTGATACTACTGGTGGTGTCGTTGGTATTACGGATGGTGTCGAGGGAGCCGTTGATGGTGTTGATGGAGCTGTTACTAGAATTTCATCATTTATTAATGGTTCATTTAAATGCGATGTTGGTGTTGGTTCCGACATTGATGAAGCTTTATTTTTTCTAGAAAAAATACTAAAAAAAAAAAAACGAAGGCATTTACATTAAGTTAAATTAAATAGATTTCATTCAAGACGCACTTTAATTTCGACAGGAACTGAAGCATCGCTAATACATAAACTAAAATAAATTGCTTGTTATTCGCTTTACACACACGGACGTACAGGCAAAGAAAAACAAGAAAGAAAAAGTTGTGAATATTATGATTCGTTTAATGACAATGTTTTTCACCAAAACAACTTAATGATTTTTTTTTTTCGACGACGTCAATGTCACATGTTGTCCCTTTCTCGCATCAAAAAAGAAAAAAAAAACAAGATACTATTTCGTTTCTTTTCTTTACATTTACGTAGGTTGATTGACATGTCGATATAGTAATTATACATGCATACTATTCTCTAGTTGGAAAAAACAAATCTCGATACTATTTTTTCTTATAATTTGTTAAGATCATCATCATACAAGGAGGAAGAGCTATTAAAAACGTTTTCTCTTCAACAGACTTATGAGGACAATATATCTTGACAAGTTTATAACAATGATAAGGATGGATTTGTGACGTTTGCCATTTACTTTTTTTTTTCATATATCTTGTGACATATTACAAAGTAGTTTTGAAAGGTATGCTAAATCGTCATGGTAACTATTTATGCGAATCGTAACGTCTGTCTGAATCTCAGCGAAAGAGTCATTTAAAAAGAGACACCTGTGATATAGCTTTTTAGAACGCTGCAATGTATATAGTTTTTATATAAAAAGTAGAAGAGCTCATCTGGTCGTAGGAACGAATTTGAGCAAAATCTCATAGACAGTATTATGGGATATATATGACATGTACAATAAGAGGAGATAGTGTTCAAATACAATTTATATTCCATATCGAATGTTTGTTCATACTATCACGTATATTGTTATCTGTACTCATAAGAACCGTTGGTATATTGGTAGTAGATTGCTGATTACAGGATAATCAATCACTCAAGTTTCAAACTACTACCGACATATCCTACATTATATCAAACGATTCATTGATAATTTCCATCTGGTTCAAATTAGATGAGATGTGTATTCATCGAGTTCACCTTTTGTTTATCATGGTTTTTCTAAATTTATCATAATCATTGAACGTAATCATGATTTATGATTGATTGTAACTATAACGTTCATTGTCTATTTATTTATCTGTTTTTGATAGAAATATTGTGCGAAAATTCTAATTGGTTATTATTATCTTACGTAAATCTTCAATCAATTTTTTCGTTGTGCGTATTTAAATGATCATAATATACTAAGACATGATATTTTCTCTTCAACTATTAATCGATCCAAATTAAAAGATAGATTACCGTTTCTCGAATAACTTTTGATAGAAACAAGATAGAGTGCTATTGTTTTCACCATTCGAAAGAGCGATGTTCAGATGATTGGTCGGTATAAAACTTATTCAGACGAAAGATGCTTTTTTATAGGTATCTTTGGATCAGCACTTTTTCCTTTGACTGCTTTCATCAATTTTCACAATAATCTCAACTTGAATTATACCAACATGTAGTTTAAATTACCCTTTTTTCACTAGAAAATCAACATTTGTTTTCTTAAATCCACTTAGAATAAGAGATGACGAGATAATGAAATATGTGATCATTTTATAACGAAAAACAAAAAGATGATTTGAGCTACATTTTAACATAGTTCAAGTTCAGATTATTGTGAATATTGATGAAAATACTCAAAAGGAAAAAGTGTTGATTCAAAGGTACCTATAAAAAGAATGCATCTTTCGTCTTCACGAGTTTTATACCGATGGATGACCTGAACATCGCTTTTTTGATTAATCAAAATCACAGTTCACTATGTTGCTTCTATCAAAAGTTATTCGAAAAATGGGAAACTGCCTTTTTACTTTGGACTGGATATTAGTTCAATAAATGTATTCAAAATGATCCAGCTCAACGAATATATTATCCTTTTCATCTATTCTCAACAGGTGTATAATGTATTAAATCATTAAGTCTCATATTATTATGAATCTTTTGTTGTCTTTTATGAAGACAGTTTTATGTTTTTGATTCGATGATTATCATAATATTACGTCGTATTTATGTACAAAAAAAAATATTCATACTACAGGACATCAACGAAAACGGTGATAAACACAAGCACTTTTCTTCTTTCATATAATGACTCATGTTATGTCAAGCGTATCATAACATCGTTGAATGTATACTTTCATTAATATAGTATCATATGTCTATATACAAATCGATACAATCAGGTCATATTTTACAAAATACTTGAATTCATTTTCTGATATACAATGAATATAAAGTTTGAAATAATGTTCGTAGATAGATAATTTGAATCAACTATTTTTGGATAGTACTATATTCTTTTCATTCAAAAATTCTCTTCTTAAGGGACCCTTTCAGAATTGATTTCTCACTTAGAACGGACCATTTGGATTGAAATTTTCAGAAACAATTGATTCTAGTGAGAAACGCTTGTGATGGAAACTTTCGCCTGATATGACTGACGAGACTGAACTTTCAGCTTGTTTTCCTACCTTTCAGGAGAATCGAAACAACTCCGTTGTTATAAGGGGTACAGAACTTGAACTGGTTTAAAAGTAAAGTTAACTTCTGTGCGCAGCTTTTCATTGAGCAGAGTTTTGAAGCACCTTTGCATTCATTTCTTGTGAGCATTTTAATGGATATTGTATTCAAAATAATCATAGCAAAGGTGACTCCACGAAAGTATATTCTACTTTTCTCAGTTTAAGAATTAAATATTAAAAATCGTCCGATGAAAATTTAGCTCTCATGCAGACCTTTAAGACAAAAAGAAACATCAGCTACATCTCGAGGCGAATGGAAGTCATTTCAATTTTCGTGCATAGAAACCGTATGTTGAGAAAAACGCTACAAAAGTTTTAGAAATATACGTAATAGATAAAAGTAACTAACGTCATGTGACATGCTAATTAATATAAAAAATATTCTATTCAATGATAATGCAAGTAGAAACACAGTTTTTTCAAAACTTTAAAAATCAAATTTCAATATTCCTTTGAAAAATTCGATTTTCTAAGAGACGGAGGCTCTTAATCTGTCGAAAAGATTAATTTTATTGTATGACCAAAGGATAATTTAATAGATTGTATTCAAGTAGAGATGTGCGAAATAAGTCTTTTTCTGTAGATTGCATTCGTATTAAGAAAAATTTTCTGACCCTAACCCTACTCTTCCCTGTAGAACAACTATCCTTACTTTATCCTACAAAGCTTTTATCTTACTCTTCCTATGGGTATTTCCCTCTTATGGTATAAGACCAATTGTATTCCCATAGAGAACCAAATGTAGTCCAAAAGAGAGACATATCCTTAATACTATTCTAATTGTAAGACTCTAAATATGATACATATCAAAATAGTATCACAATAATGACTTACAGGATTAGCTTTTTCGTAGCCCATACCCTAATTAAGAAAAATTTTCTAACTCTATAAAATTTCTATTCAATCAATTCAAAATAAAACACAAAAAAACATATGACTAAAAATATTTCTATTATATGAATAATATAAGAAAAATATATGTAAATACGTATTTATAAATTAACAGATAAATTTTAAAATAGAATTCTTCATATATTAGTATAAGTTGAACCTTCATTACTTTGTAGTATTACCCATTGAAGATTTTGTTTAGAATTTTTAATATCACATGTTTTATAATTAATATAATATTTATTATTTATTTGTCATGGACATTCGTCGAATTCATTTTCACTAAATTGATAAACATCTAAAAAGACGACTAATAAGAAAACGAAAAAATAAATAAAAGTAGTTTCTACGTACTGAGCAATTACGTTGTTTTGATTCATTATAAATAGGTAAATTAATTGATATTACAATATTATCATAAGTGCCTATTTTTTAATGAAATACTTGATAGAAAAAAAATAAAGAACTGTATACATAAAGTCATCGAATAATGTATCTAATGAAGGGACGAAAATTATACCGGTTGTATAATTTTTGTCCAATATAATTACTTTTTTTCGTACAAATCCTTTACAATAAAAGTTGGATTGATTTGAATTATATTTGTTATAATTTTATTAAAGAATATTTATTGATTAGATAAGTCAATGGATTGTTTGTGTGATCATGCTTATAATCAATTTCAAAATACTTTGCAATACTCATAAGACTGGAAAATCGATATTGATAATCTGTAATATTCTGATTCATCATTCTATATGTGAATTCGTCAATAGTTTCTGTTTAACTTCATATCATGATATTACCAAGATGCATCCCATCGTTTCTGTTTTTGTTGTTACTTGGTATTCTTTTTCCTTCGTCATGACGCTTGTTGGTATTTTTCCATCTTGTTACTCGCCATAGGAATGTTTTTAGCGCCCACATCTGTAAATAGAGTGTGATATTACAACAAATGACTTTCATTTGCTTCGATTTTTAGAATTTACTTCCTAGGAAGTTCTTATTCTTTTACAAGCAAATAGCACCATCTCTAAACGTGCTAGAATTAATCAATACAGGAACTAACAGCAAAACAAAAATCTTAGCTTCTCTCTTTTTCTACAAAGATTACTTGAGTATGTAGCTACTTTATCGCTACCATACATTCTTGACAACACGGCGCACTTAGCGAAGGTGGCATCTGTCTTCGTTCAACGAAAACAAGAGGACGCTAGTATTTTGGCTTGGTTGCTACAACCAAGATATCGCAAAAAAAAAACATGAAACGAACAGTTTTTATTTGAAAATTCCCTATAGATAGATATTCCTGAAAATTTTAATTAAAATGAACATGTTTGTTTCAAGGTAATCAAATTTTCATAAAACAAAAATTGTTTACCGTGAAAAGACACAATAATTCAAATTACTTGAAAATTAATTATTTCGTGAAAAATATGTTTGTTTTTATTGAAACTTTGAAACGGTTGTCACTCTTCA